GTCCTGCTCCCAGGCTACTGTGGCCTGTTACTTGATCTTAAGCAGGGAAATTCTGTGTGCTGCAATTTCCCAGCTTGTGTGGGATTTACCTTTAAGTGCTTTAGTTTCTGACCTAATGAGTGTTGAGTCCAGATTTTAAATCAAGCTGCAAGTCCTCAGCTGGTTCAAGTGGAGAGGAGAGATGAATGGGTGGAGAATGGGAAATGAGACCCGAAATTTCTATCAGCATTCAACACAGACTTGTCAATTCATTTCATATTCCTCATTAACCATTCAGATTGATTTATTGACATTATAAATTTCAAGTGTAACTGAAATAAACTCAAGTCCTGCTCCGATTGTTCCTTAGTAGTGCCACGCTTTAGCTTGGAGGTCTGTATGGAACTAGGCAGTGATAGATTATGGAAAACCTAATAAAAAGCCTGACTGTTTTTGACTCTGCCTCTGCTAGCTGAGTACACTCCTCTACTTTCTGCATTTTGAGCTTTCTTGTTGCTTCTGTATATTCAAAAGACTTCAGTGATTCCAGCAGATGTGAGGGATTTGGGAGTTTTATATAAAGCCACTGGATCTATGTGGTCTTTACTATACTAGTTCAACTCTAGTTGAAAAAAGTCCTAATCCCAATTAGTGAGCAAGGAAATGTGAACTTCAACCACAAAACAAGATAAAAACTGGTCAAGCTACTAGCCTGAAACCTTAGCCCTTATGATAACAACAACAAATAGCTTTAGCCTCTAGGGTGGAAAAGGGAATTGGTTTCAAAATGCATTCTCCAGGATCTCGGTGATTAGGTCTAAGTTTGTCTGTTCCTTGTACTGCATGCATTTTCTCTGTAAAACTGGATGGTGCCTCTTGAATCAGTGTGTATTTATTTTGTGCATATTAGGACCAACAGCCTAATATCTGGGGGTGGTAAAGGACTTGTAGCACTTTAATGTAGTAGCTTTCATAAATTGGGAATCATTGGTAGAATGCCTAGTGTTTTTAAAGTTGAATGGACTTCCTTTTATAATATATTTAAAATAAATTTTTAATGTGTTTTCTGAAATCTGTGTGTGCAGACGTGACTGTCACTGCCTGTTTTGCTCCAGTGATGTGTTTCTCTTCTCTCTATTTATAAACTCAGTTATCCCTTGTCGGGTGTTTCCCCAGCACAGGCTTCCTGCTGTGCCACACACTGGTGTCCTCCAGCCCCCTTGGGAAACGTCCTTCCTGGCTGCCCTTTGCATTGGGAATAGAGCACAGGATTTGCTGTGTTCATACAAACAGCCAAGGAGCTCATGCCCGAGTGCTGTGTTGGGTGTACAAGGAGGCTCAGCAGCCGTGGGGAAGCTCTATGTCTGCCTCTCACAGCTGCTTCCCAGCAGCTCTGAAACCAATGGGAACAATCCATCATGTCCCAGAACTACAGCCCAGCAGGGGATCCTGCAGCACCTCAGCTCAGAGCTGAAGGAAGAGCAAGTGGCAGCCACGAAGGGAGGAGACATGAGGAGAAATATAAGATGTGGGCAAAGCTGGAGTGGACAAAGCTAGAGGAGGCAAGGAGGAGACATGTTCATGCAAGTAGGTGCCCAGGGGTACTGTCCTGGATGGACCATGGCTGCGGTGGATGATGTAGAACCTGTACCCCTGAGGGATAGTTGCCATGGACAGTACTTGGTAGGGCACACTGGGAAGCACAGAGGAGCAGAGAAAACCCAGCTGTCATTGTCCTTTCTGTGCCTGTCTGCCTTGGGAGAGACTGCTGGGAGATCCATCCCACACCTCAGTTTGCAGGGCTTTAACAGCTCAGGGCCCTGTTTGTGTTCTGATATCCAAGTGGGGAGAGCAGGCTTGGCCCAAGACAAGGGAAGTTTCTCAGCATTGCTCATGTTCCCTCTAGGACCCTCAGTGCTTTCTGCTGTCACCACTTCATTTCTTCAGCAGCCTTCTCAGCACTCCTTTTTACTTAACTCCTTTGGGTGAAAAACAGTGGAAAAAACGGATGGGAGACAAGCAATGAAATGTGTGAAGATCTACGTGTGGAGAAAATGAGCCTGTGTGAGGGAAAGGAAAGGCTCTTTCTGGGGGGACCAGCAGATAACTGCAAGGTTAACTGTTTCCCCCGGGAAGGCTGTGCTGTGATTCTTGGCTGTGGGAACGTTGCCCAGGGTGAGTATGTGCCAAAAGCTGTGACAGTTTAAGCATTTTAGCAGGTTCAATATGTGCCACCCTAGAAAAGTGCTGAGGAGAGTGGGAGTCCGGGGAAAGGCACGAGGGCAGTGCTTCCATTGGCCCTCAAGGTGCCGAGAAAGGAAATGGTCTGATTTCTGACTGGGAGTACAAAAAAATTTTTAAAAAAGCAGCTTCCCAGGACATCTCCAGCAGCACTGACCGTTTGGAGAGAAGCATTTCTGTCCCAAGCCCCCCGAATGGCTCCATTAAAACAATAAGTTCCACATGACAGCTACACCACAGACTTATCTTTAGAGAGTAGTGCTGCTCCAGGTGAGATTTACAGGCTGGTGCAGGTTCCCCTAATTTGATTAGAGGGTGACTGGGATGGGCAGGCCATTACCGCTTCAGAGGCACTAAAGCTGCCTGGGTGCTGATGGGTTTATGAAACATTGTTTCTCACTTCATTGCAGCTCCCACAAAGAATTATTGGATCAGGTTAGTGATAGATACCCAATAAAGAATGTCTCTATGAGGCAGTTTATTTCACAGCAAGCTTGTTCCGGACTACTAGACTGTGAAATCTGGAGGTTCCCATGAGGATAAATACACTGAAATAAACTGCAATTATAAAAACACCTCCATGCACTGTTTTCTTATTTTGAAAGACTGTAAAAAGGTGTCATTGTGTTAGCCTGAGAAGGGGGAGGTAATTAACATTGAATTAACAAAGAGACAAAACCAGGGTTTTTCCTTCTATTGGGCATTGCAAAACGACTTAAAATCTTTTCATTTGCAGGGATGAGAGGTTGCAGCCCAAGAAGAAATAGAATCTGATGGTCAGTACCAACCTGTTCTGGCACTTATGGTGCCTGTTTCTCCAGCCATTCCTGATTGCCATAGAATAGTCCAGGGACAACCTGCAGAATCTCGTCCCCATGGGGCCAGGAGGGAGTCCTACCTGTTATGGTCATGTTCCCTTTTATCTTGTTTGCTCCTATTATCACCTGTCCCTACAGTCTGTGCTTACAGCTGAGTGTCAAGATAGTCCTTCTGCAAGATTTCCTCAGCCTGCCATTTGATCTTTATTGGTAATGTTAAGATAAAGCTGGAAAGCTTGGTATCGGGAGATCCAAGATCCCTCTCAGCCTTTTGTGTTTACTCTTTCCCCAAAACAAGGGAATATCTATCTGGTTTTGCCAGGAGGGTATTAATTCAGGCAGGCAGATCCCAAGCAGTGTGGCCTGGGGCTTTAATAAGCAGTGACGTTTTGCTTATTTAAATCTCTTTGCTCTTCACTAACTGCTTGTTGGTCTGTGGGTAAATTCATTTGTTTTCATCAGCTTCCCATGAGAACGGCAGGCTCCTGGGAGCCTGTCCCCAGGAGGGTGCACTGTGGTTCCCTACCAGTCACATGGACAAACAGAAATTACCAGTTGCCTGAGGGCACCAGCAGTAAAAGCAAAGACAAGAGGCAGAACTGTTGAGGAGTGTTAAGTCCCTTCCCTCCACATTTATTGAGACATGTTTGGCAGTGTAAAGAATGCCTAGAAAATACAGATTTTGGCTTTTCTCAGTTGTCTTGTGCAGAGCAGGCAGAACAGGTTGCAGGGTGCCTGACAGTGTTACTGTAGGGCAGTCGGAGCTGATGACCAAGGGCTTTAAAGAGTCTTTCTTGCTAAGGTATTTTGTGTGTGTGATTCAGCAGAGTTCAACCGGTGCTCACACACATTGTTCCACGTGCAGGATTTCGGACTCTGAAGTAATTTTAGTCTATACAACCTTTCTTCTGCTTGTGCAGAAAGTCTTTTCTTGAGGAGGATGAAATCCTTTTCCCTTTAGAGCTGCTCACTCACCTCTGACAATGGGATTTGCCATCTGGTATTGCAGAGGTTGTGGCGTTTCCAGAAGGTACATCTTTTCTTCACAGATCAGTAGGAATTTCATTCCTCCCCCCACCACCACTTCTCCTCCCCCTTTCTTCCCCCTTTTTTACTTTTTTGGGTTTGTGGGGGTTTTGTTTGGTTTTTTTTTTTCCTGCAGATGAAAGAAATGTGAAGCTTAAAGTCACATTGCTTTGGGAAACTCTTTTCCAGGTCCCATCTTCTCACTATCCCTGCCTTGTAATGGGGAGGGGGGGAGGTGCAGGGGAGAAGGGAAATCATACATGTCTTCTAATATATAATCTTATAATATAAAAAAATTATATTTCAGCCAGGAAGTCTTGCCTACGTGACGCTGTATCCAAGAACAGGCATTTGCGGCTGTGCCGACCTGAGCTGTGTCCCAGGGCCGCAGGTTCAAGTCTGTCACAGGTTCGGCTGTTCCAGGAGCGGTGCCGGCTCAGCCCCGGCCGGCTGGAGGAACCCGCGGTCCCGTGGCTGGGCGCGGGGGTCCCGTGCGGTTCTGCGGAGCAGGGGACGCTTCCCTTCTCGTCCCGCAGGGCCCAGTCGGCCCGGCGAGAGCCGGCGGGAGCCACCGGGTCCCCCCAGGGCCGGGGGGGCCGGACCCGGACCCACCGCTCCCTCCGCGCCCCTCACGGCGACCTTCCGGCCGCGGAGGCGGGGCGGTAGCGGCTGACGGGCAGCTCCTCCGCCCAATGGGCGCGCGGAGCGGCGCGGGGCGCCCCGCCCCTCTGTGCGCCCCGCCCAATAGGAGCGGCGCCTGCGAGCCGGGGGGCGGGACTTCCGCGGCCGGGGAGGCGGTTTTGTGTGTGCGGGCGCTGCGCGGTCCCGGCTCCCCGCGGGCGGCGGCGCTTGGGGGGCCCCGCCCGGGCCGGCCCGGCCGGCAGCGCGGCGGGGGGGCGGGGGGGTCCCCTCCCCTGCCGCGGCTGGGGGGCCCCCGCGGGGGCGGCGGGGTCCCCCCGAGGGCGCGGCGGTGACGGCGCGGCTCGTTCCCCCCCCTCTCCCCGGTGGTCGGCTCCCCGCGCGGGGTGAGGGGCGGGCAGGTGGGCGATGAATGGGTTCAGCACCGAGGAGGACAGCCGGGATGGGCCGCCCGCCGCCCCCTTTTACGGCCAGAGCTGCTGCCTCATCGACGACGGGGACCGCTGCGTGCGCCCCGCCGGCAACGCGTCCTTCAGCAAGAGGATCCAGAAGAGCATCTCGCAGAAGAAGCTGAAGCTGGACATCGACAAAAGTGTGAGTGAGTGCGGCCTCCCGCCGGGGCCGCCGAGCCCCCCGGAGGGGCGGCCGGGCCGGCCCCAGCCGCCACCGCACTGCGGAGCCTCCGGGGAGCGGCGGATCCGCCCGGCGAGTTGGGCTCCGGCTGCCCGGGGGGGTTCGGTGCTGCCCCTCGGGGAGAGGGGGCGAGCTGCGGGGCTGTGAGCGGCCGGCACGGCGCCTCGGCACCGCGTTTTCCCCATCCAGCGCTCGGGAAAGGGAAGGGAAGGACGTGCCTGGATGCGGAACCGGCTTTTCCCCGTGGCGCGGCGAGTCTCGTGATGCGTGAAACACAAAACACCGTGTTTGGGAGGCGGGCGATGCTGAGCGAGCTGCCCGTGCTCCGGAGGCAGGGACGCTGTTTCCATTGCGGTTTCGGGTTGGAAACGCTGGCGCTTGTCAGGTGAAAACAGCACTCGGTGCTTCAGCGAGGCGTCGCTGACGCTGCTGCTTTAATTGGTAGGAATTGGTGCTGTAGCGAAGCAGGTTAAAAGATGAGCTGGCGGCGAGATGTGATGCCGCCTCAGCAGGGCTTGTTCGCACACCAAACAGCCCAGTTTGGTGCTTAATGACATCAAGTGGCGGCTGTCAGCTCTAGAGAGAAGCGGGTCGTTCGCCCAGCAGAGAAATAGGTAGAGCGGAGCAGCCCGAAGGAATTTCTCAGAAGTCACTCGCTTAACGGAATCCAGCTCTGCGCGCTTTTCTTACCAGATCTTTAAAGATTAAAACCGCTGAAAACAAAGGGGGGGGGGGGGGAAAAAGCTGAAGTTTTGAGTCAGTCTGTTTGGCAGCTCCCCCGGTTGATTGGGTCCCTTCTGCACAGCTGAATCGCATCGTGTCACGGAAAGAGAGTGACTCAATTTGAAACATATTCTTTAAAAATGGGGTATTTCTCCTCGCTGTAGTCCTCAGCAGATTGGCCTAGTGGCATATTAATTTTTTGCATTTCAGAAATGAGTCTTTGTTGACAGATGTAAGGCTTTAGAAACAAAAAGGGGAGATCAGACTAATGAACTCAGAACAAAGGGAAAGTGTGAAGCAAGGCTGCATGGAGGGATTTCGAATGTAGGTTGCCTGTGTCATCTGAAGATATTTTAACCTTACAGATTCCAGATGATTTTGATCACTTGAAGTCCTTTGTTTTGCTAACTAGTGAGATAATATTTGTTAAAAGGGGTGTTCCATGGCTGAATAAGCAGTAGGAAAGAGACAGTTCTGCTTTTGGGTTTCTTGTTTTATTTGAGGTAATTAGCCAACTTTTATTTGGTCAAGGTGTTGAAACACTTGCATTAATTATCTTCTGTACTGTTCAAGCCAGAAAGTTCACAAGAGTGGAACAGATTAATATTTTTCTTAGTAGTTAGCTGACGGTAAGTCCTGAAGCAAATGCACTTCCTCCAGACAAGGACCTGTTTTTTTCTGACATACGATTGCACCCATAAAAAAGAAATGTATTACCTGCAGAGGTTCAAGTTCAGGTGAAGCTCGAGTCCTTAATTTTCTTTGCCTTTAGTCTTTGTAATGTAAATTATTTGTAGCTCAAGAGCCTGATATCAGGCCTGTGGTTTAAGATTAGAAATTCCTTAAGGCAGTCAGTCACACCAGTCATGGGGGTGGATTCTGATACTGGTGTCTAAATGGCTGCTGTTGGATGCTGTTTCACAGAACCTGTTTTGATTGTTCTTTCACCTCTTCTGTTCTTAGGTGAGACATCTGTATATTTGTGATTTTCACAAGAACTTCATTCAAAGTGTGCGAAACAAAAGGAAGAGGAAGACGAGCGATGATGGAGGTGACTCTCCTGAGCATGACACGGATGTTCCAGAGGTTTGTGGGCTGCTTTACCAGTTCTGAGCATGCTGAAGTTTCACTTGGATGGTTTCATGTATCGCAAAATATTTACATTTTAAATTGCAACTCCACTGAAACTGCTGTAGAGTTACTCTCACTTTCCAGGTGGACTCTTTTCTCATGTGCAATGTCCTAATTTTCTTCTTCATTCCTGTATGAGTTCCTTGCCCATGTAAAGTTTTCTATAAAAAGAGGTGTGATAAGGTAACTGTACAGCTTCATGTATGTACAGTTAAAGCTGTATTTGGTCCTAATTCTTTTTTAAAGGTAAAAATAAGTTATTTTTGGTGGTGTCTGAGGCTCCAATATGATTCTTTGTTACTTAGGATGCATCATTCTCCAAATACACTAGAGAATTCAATAGATCACTGTCTTTGATTGGGTATTTGATATCCAGGGATATTGACCTTCTCCAGACCTTTGTACATATGGGGTTTTTTTGGGACTATTTAAAACTACCTCTAAATAGTTTGTAACTCCTTTTTACTTTCAGGAAATAGGCCTGGGGGAGGTTTTCTGTGATACAGAACTCTAGAGTAATCCCTTCTCTGTTCCATTGTGTGCTGCATTTGCCTCAGTGATGTTTCAGGTCCTGTAGGCACCGCAAAAAGTTGCGCAGAGGTGATAATTGGGAGAAGCAGAGCTGTGGCCACGTCAGCAGAGCCCTCTGCTGGAAATGCCAACCCTATTGGCAAAGAACCTTTTATTTCGGGGTGGGGGAGAGAGAAAGCCACCAGGAGTCATTTTGCCAGCAAAGCTGTGCCTTGGTGCAAAGCTGTACGCACACGTTTCCTTTGTGGAGGTGTTGAAAGAGTAGCAAGTTTTTGGTGTGGTGGTTTTTTTAAGAATACCTGACCTTTTGTTATCGCTGTTGATGTTTCCATTCAAGGTTCTCCATCAAAACTTTCCTATTCAGGCTTTACAGTAGTTGCCAGGGTGATTGATGAGGACCCAGCGGGCATCTAAAAATGGTGCTGTAGAGCACAGAGGGTACTTGGTGACTTAAACCTGAGGGATGCACATCACCCAGCAGAGTTCCAACAGGCAACTCTGCATCATGTCAGTTTTAATGTAATTTTCCCCTTGCTTTTCAGCACAGATTCCTTTTGTCTTTGAAACTTGGCATTTTCCACATGATCTTCATCTTTCTTCCTGTAACCTCCCTACCACCCCCTTTGGTTTTAAACTGTGCACTTCCCATTTAAGTATTTGAATTTCATTTCATCTCTGTGCTCTGTTTTATGTCACAAACCATTTGTTCAATGCCTGCTAAATTGATATTTCATGTGTGAGCTTTTTAAACCTTGTGGGAACAAAAGGTTCCCCTTTGCTTGGAGGTTGCAGAGGTGTAATTGAGAGCAGAAATTGGCCAGCAATTCTGTTGACAGCATGTGAACCAGAACAAAATTTTCTATTTCCCTGAGGCTATTTTGGTCCTTTAGCATTAACAAATACAAAATATACTGAGGTTTGTCAGTAAAGCAAACCAGTGTGGTTCTGAATGCAGGCAAAGAGCAGTCCTGTTGAGGAAGTAGTTATTTTTAGATAAAATGACTACTCATAGAAACTAAAGGTAGTGCTCATCCTCTCTGCATCACTTGCAGGTTGACTTGTTCCAGCTCCAAGTGAACACCCTGAGACGTTACAAGAGGCATTATAAGTTGCAGACTAGGCCTGGACTCAACAAGGCTCAGCTTGCAGAAGTAAGTGATGACAGAGGTAGCGTTATCTCTGTTATTAAAAAAATTTTATCTCCTCTTTTCAAGTGCATGTTTTGTGGACACTCATACCTGTGCGACTCACTGGTATGTACCGAGTGCTCTGCGAAGGGTTTCAGGGGATGATGCCAACAGAAAGCTGCTTTCACCTGGGACAGGCATGGGAGGCATGGAAGCTGGCTCTTGACAGCATGTCTTAGTAACTTGGCTTGTCTCTGCTTCCTTTCCTGCCTTGTTTATAGTCATAATCAGTGACCTTTAGGGAGCAGAAACAGAACCTGTTTTCTGTGGCCTGGGTGTGATCTGGAGATGGCTGTTTGATTGAAACTCAGACTTATACACTACTGGTCTCCCTAAGTGCCCCTGTTAGTTTTTCTTTCCTCACAGGCACTTGAACTGGTTGGAATTGCTTATTATTAAAGGCAGAATCATTGACCGTGACTTCAGGTTCCTTATTTCCCTCCCTTGTCCTGATTATTCTATATTAAGCCAATAAAAGACTTTTTCCTTAAGGGCCTCTGCTGCTGCTTTCTCACCATATGGGTACTTGTACAGAAAGAACTCTCTGTATCTCTGTGTTATTTGGGTAAGTTGTGCTTGGTGTGCATCTGCTCTGCTCTTTCCTGACTTCTCTGATGACGTGCTGTGAGAAAAGTCTTCTCTAAACTGGAAGAAGCTGTAGCAGTTACTGAATGGTAGCGAGGTTGATTTTGTAAGTTGTGGTTTTCACAGCTGTCTGCCTAAAACTGTCCACTTCACTTTTACTCTTGCTTTAAAGAACAAAAACCAGCAGACCAAAAAAGTCAGCAAAGAAACTGTCTTTCTCTCTTTCAAAGTCACCTAGGGAGTGAATATACAGAATATAGAGAAATTGTAGTGTAGTGTCTGTAGGGGTAAGTTGAAGAAAGCATGGTGAGGGTATCCCTCATTAGTAGTTCTGATTTGTCATGTTCAACTAAGCAGTTCATAGTCTGTCAGCTGCCTCCTGCCATGAAGGACTACCTGCTTAGGGAATTTACCATGAATGTTCCCAAGAGGAAAGCAAAGATCAACTACTATGCAAGCGGAAAATAAAGAGAACCTAACTTAAAGTTGTCACACACTTCCCAGATTTCCTGTGGAGTCTGAGCAGCTTTGACCCTACGCTGGATCCTCGTCCAGCTCCCATGTTTGAATCACTGCTGCCTGAGGCTCTTAGACTCCTGCTGCTATCCCACCGTAAGGAAAACTCAGACTTCCATAAATCTTTTTGGAGTGACTTATTGCTCAACCTGCATCAAAATCCAGTTCTGGAACTGTGTTTGATACCAAAAACCAGCTTCTTCCATGTGAGAAGCAGATTTCATCCGGCTTCAACATATTTTCTACGTTCATTTTCTGAGGAAAAAGCAGCTAATGGTTCAGGGCTTATGACAGTGGCAGAGAGGGGTAGCCCTCACCAAATCCTAACCCTGCCAGTGCAAATTCGATGATGTTCCTTTCAGTGAAAACTTAGAGTCCAAAGGAGAGCTCCCTGGATAAAACTTTGCTACATCTGGTTCACACAGCAAAGCGTTGCAGTTTTTCCTACACTCTCCTTTAAAACGCGGAGGTGCAGAGAAAACTTGCTCACCAAATAATCTTGGCATGAACTGTCGCTCAGGAGGAGCTGTGCTGCTTTGGCAGGAGGACATTCTGGCTTCCAAATTCCACTTTTAGGTTGGCTGCAAATCCTGCTGACACAGCAAGACTATGCTATGTTCATACACACATTCCAGCTGTAAAGAGAGAGGGAGGTAAATGAGGACTGACAGTTGGAATCGGTGCATGTTTGACTAAAAGTATATTGTGCTCAGTGGCCGTAAAATTGGTTTTGGAAAGTGAAGACAAACCCCATTCTAGTTATTTCTACTGTTTAATTTCAGCATTTCTGTCTCTTTACATGTTGTCCTTCCAGACTGTCAGTCGTCACTTCAGGAATATTCCAGTGAATGAGAAGGAGACACTCGCATATTTCATCTACATGGTGAAGAACAACAAGAGCAGGCTGGACCAGAAATCAGAAGGCAGCAAGCAACTAGATTGAAGGTTAACAAGACTTGGAATAAGAGAGACCTTAAAGGAACATATGGTATTGTGTATTTTAGGTATATAAGAACTGTTAAAGTATATTGTAAATTTTTTTTTTTAAATGCAGTGTCTGGATGACAGAAAAAAATATTGACATTCTTATCAGGAGTATTTGAAAACATGTGTCCAACATGTTTCCGAAGACTTCTTCCCCTCATTTCAAAGTCACATTGGAATAAAGAAATGAGGATAATGGGGAAACCAAGTAAACCTGTAGGACTGTGGAGTTTGTCAACTTGGTGTTTTAAACCATCTCTGGAAATCTGCATCTCAGTGCAATTCAGATCCCAGATGGAATTTTTTTCACTGAATTCAGACTGCATCACAAACTACCATGCAGTTTGTCTTGGTACAGGACTGGAAGAGCAGCAGAGATAAAATTCATTCTTGAGGTGCATGGGTCAGAAGTTTGTCTGAAGCTTGCTCCTCACCTACACATGCTCTGTCTTGCCTTGAGTCAGTGCTTCAAGTCCCAAACTTCTACAAATGCTCCAGCTCACCAGATCTACTCCAGTGAATGCTACTTGACTAGTCTGAAATTGATACGTGTTTTTTACCATTTTTCCTCCTGACCCCGTCTGACATGGATGCCAACCAACTCTCTGCAGTCTCTTTTTCTCATTTCTTTTATTTAACAGCTCACTAATTAAATTGTCTGTAAGAATTTTAAAACTTCTGCATTTCCTCAGAATGTGGTATTAAGGCAAACACAGCTTATTTGCTGGGTCTGATCATGTTGGTAGAAATGCTTGTTTAATTCACTTATACATATTTCAGTGATGGTAGGTGAAACAATTGCTTGAGACGTCAGTCTCTTAATTTCTGTGTCAGATCAGTATCAGTCACAAGTTTTGTGAGTTCTCTGCTGAAGCTGTAGCAGGTGTCACAAAACTGCTGTGTGGATTCAGGGGCTTTGCAGTCTCTGTTTAGTATAAAACAGAGTTATGGGTGAGGCACCATAACCAGGGCAATGATCTGACTGGAGCATTTTGTGATGCACTTCATCTGTCTTTGCAACAGGCAAGAAGTATCAAAGCATTTGCCTTTCATGAGCATTTCATGAGAGCTGTGTGAGTGAGGGTGGCACCCTGGTGTTTCCTAACTGGGCACTGTAGGAGGAGATCACCCTGAATTTGTTATTTAAAACCAAGGTGTCCTTACAAATAACACAGTGGTTATTTTGGCAAAAGGAGCTTATAAAAGTATTGGTCGTGACTGACTGTTCTCCAGTGACCTCAAATTCTCTTCAGGGGACCTCATGATTTAAAGCACCAGTATGTTTCTTTGCTGTCCTAACCAATGTCTCCATTCTGGTACAAGATGCCAAGACTCCACATAGAGAGGATATTCTCAACAAGCCTTAAGCAACGACTGAGCAGTAGAAAACTTCGGCTAGCATTTTGTAAATGGCAGGTTTTAATATTTCAAAACTGGATGGAGCTTTGTTGAAGAACTAAACACGCAGGTCATGGTCCCAGCTTAGTACTGGATTGTGTTTCATAAGGCATGAAGGGTTCACTTAGTGAAGCTCTTGTTGAAGCTCTCCCAAGGTCTCTTTAAAAATCAAGTCACAACTTAAAGCAAGTTGTTCACATCACTCTGAATTGTTTGCTAATACTCCAGAAACATGTTCAACGAATTTCAATGTGTCTGAGTCCTGTGTCATGTGCAGAAATACTCTGTTATGGTACACGTCCCATTTGTGACGTGTGGGGAGTGTGATTGTTTCAGCATTTCCTTGTTCGATTCAATATGGAACATCAGACAAGAGAGAGGTTCAAGCAATGGGGAGAGAATGTCTTGTGTTGGTATTTCATGAATGTTTAAAAATTTCCTAATTATGATGGTCCTTTCCTTATTGAAAGGGTGGAGTAATTCCCACATCAGTCAACACGATCCGGCTTCTCTCATTCAGGACAGATCACTATAAGGGTACATTCTCTGACTGCACGTTAGTCTGCAAAGTGCTCATGTCATCAGAGGATATTACCAAGGGAAAATGAGTTTCTGAGCTGAGAGGGTTATGCCTCACAGTGATTCTTCCCCTGTACTTGGCACTGGTGAGGCACCTCGAGTCCTGTGCCCGGTTCTGGGCCCCTCAATTCAGGAAGGACATTGAGGTGCTGGAGTGACTCCAGAGAAGGGCAGTGAAGCTGGTGAAGGATCTGGAGCACAAGTCCTGTGAGGAGCAGCTAGGTGAGCTGGTATTGTTTAGCCTGGAGAAGGGGAGGCTCAGGGGTGACCTTATCATTCTCTACAACTCCCTGACAGGAGGGTGTGGCCAGGTGGGGGTCAACCTCTTCTCCCAGGCAACCAGCAACAGGACAAGAGGATATGATCTTAAGCTGCATCAGGGGAAGTTTAGGTTGGACATTGGGAAGAAATTCTTCACAGAAAGGGTGATCAGACATTGGAATGGGCTACCCAAGGAGGTGGTGCAGTCGCCATCCCTGGTGGTGGTTAAGGAAAGACTGGACTTGGCACTTAGTGCCATGTTCCAGTTGACGAGGTGGTGTTCGGTCATAGGTTGGACTCGATGATCTCAGAGGTCTTTTCCAACCTAATTGATTCTGTGATTCTAGACCAAAACTGTAAAAATGTAGTTTGTTTGGGATTTACTTTTTTTGTCGTTGTATTCTATTTTGTTTTATTTCTAAGAGTAAATAAATCTGTTGGGGTGCTTTAGTAGCCATCAGCAAAATGATTCTTTTCAAGGAAATATGGTGGCAGGTTCCATCTGTTCAGGTGTATTCACTGGAATGCTTTTGTGCAGAGGTGGTATCCAGGAAACTTTTTATTTCTTTTTTTTTCCTGAAAATAGTCAATTGATGTGAAATGTGATCCTTGTTGGTTTCACTTCTAAAGCAATTATACTTTTTTGAAAAATATTCTTGGCGAAGTGTGATGATGAAGAGATGTTTACCAGCCATTAGCAGTTGTTTATAAGGTGGAAAGCTTGGAGGCAAGACACCAAAGAAACAGAAGAATCTTTGGCTGTCGGACCCCATGGCCTTATAAACCCCTTGCAAATGCCTTATTACCTTGTTCTCAACTTAGCTAGAGCAAAACGCCTTGAGCAACAGAAAGCCGATGTCTCGTTGGAAGGGTCAGCCACTTGATGGCTCCCATGCTATGAACTAAAACCACACGTCAATTCAGTAGCAATATCCATGTTCAGGGTGCCTGTGATTCTTGAAAAGCATTTAGTGTCTAATAACCAGAAAACGCAACAATGCAATTGTCGTTGTGTACAAAACCGTGCTGTGTGTTCGATTCCTTATGCTGCATGCCAATTGAGAAAAAAAAGACTTTCCAACTTTTTTTATTTGAAACTTCGAAGTAAATGTGTTTGAACCTCACACTTGTGAAGCCATGAGGTGGGACATTTTCTCAGCACTTTTAGATGGGACTTGTTGGAAAGGTGTAAGACCCAAATCGCTTTGGCTGGTATGATAAGATTTTTTTTTTTTTTTCCTTTTGCATTTTGCTTTTCACAGATGGGCCTTAAATTCTGTCTAGCTTTGAACCATGGAGCACAAGCCTTGGGGGCATGGAGGATGACAAGATGTCATCTTCTATTTATAATAGTGGAAGCTTATTTCTTACAAGCCTGCATAGGTGACATTCACCCTGGGGCAGAGGAATCATCTCTGAAGGTCTCCAGCCGTTATACAGCCTAATGCCATTCCATAGCCTAGCTCAATTCTCATTGAAGAGCTGCATTAACCTAATTAGAGTTCTGACTAGATCCGAAGCCATTAGTATGCAATTCAAATAATGCAGAAACATCTCTTCTGGGGTTAATTTCATCCTGTATGCTGACCCTCTGCTCGCTTCAAGGGAAGAAGAAGAAATCATTGCTGGTAGTTACGGGCTTGAGCTCAGCTCAAGGGAGTTGGAAGCATGCAAAGACTCAAGTTGTTGGCAACTTGATGGCTGAAAAGTGCAAATATATCCAAGGAGGCTGTGTTAGAATGAAGTTTTCAAAATTTCTGAATCTCAAAGGTTATTGTCTATCAACCTGAAGTACACAATTGCATTAAAAGGTAATGTTTCTTTTGCCAGGCACTTTAGATGCTCAGCCTGAAAAGAGCAGAGTGGGCAGGTTTGTACCGCTTGTCCCCAGCATTTTGGGTCCCAGTTTTTCCTAGAAATGTGGTTGTAAATCACTAGATACCCCGGTGTGCAAGACTTGACCAAAACACATCAAGTCTGGCATTTCAAGTGAGTCTAAAGTGCAGGCTGGGTTCGGAGAGGCTTTGAATACAAGAGCTGAAATAATCCACAGTTAATGGGAGTTTGCATGTGGGTCATGGTGGCACAGAGAGTATGAAACAGGGCATGGCCCACAGAGACTGAACAAAACACGCTTCCACAGGCAGCAGCATGGAGGACGATTTGTTCAGCATCAGCTCTTGTGATGGATGTTTTATGAGAGGGGGAGGAGGGGGAGCTGTGCACTTTACATCTTTTGGTTGAGCCAAATGTAAATACCAATGGGAGATCTTCAGCAGTAACTGCAGTAGGAGGGGAGGGTCTGCTGAGGGACTGTTTATTTAAATTGGCAGATGGTGGTACTTCCCTAGAGCACTAGAGTCACTTTGCCTCTACAGTTTAGAAGAACGGGTAGTACAAGGTGGCCTCCCGTCCAGAAGGAGTCCCTGTACTGCCCAGATTATTGACTGAAGTGTCCCAAAGGTGAAGGAATGTTATTGATGCCTCACTCCTCGTGTCACTGATGTCCTTTAGCCATCCCTAGCTTATCAAGTTAGGGAGTTTTCATTTCCCACTTTAGAAGTGCAAATGAATTGTTACAATGTAAGATATTCCTTGCACTTTTCACAGCTATCCCTTGACTTGCCTGTGAACACATCTGGTTGGGATGAATTAAATGCTTGAAGAAAGTATGGGGAGAGGGGGAGGCTCCTGCCTTAAGCCTGAACTTCCCTTGCAAGCAGCTCTGCAGGCCATCCTGTACATCAGCAGGCTCCAGGAGCCTCTGAGCCCTAACAGGGCTGGGTTTACTCCTGTCCTACCCACAACTCTGCTCCTCAGCTGGTTGGTGCAGGGGAGATGGGTAGCAGGTAACTTGCAGAATGGTTTGGAGTCTTTTGGCAGGCTTACTGGGAGAGAAAAACTGTGTTCCCTCTTCTGTTTCTGGCCTCCATGTGTTGTGCTGATCTTATGCCAAATGTTTTGGACACCTTGTATTTTTAACTGTGTAATATAGCTGTGTATTGTTAAAGCAACTTAGTAACTTATAGCAAAAGCTGTAGAACTCATTTCTCTGAGGTGTAGGAAATGTCCTGCTTCCACTGTGTATGAGACTTTAACTCTGTACTGTCTGACAAAGATAAGATGCTGAATTTCACTTTAATAAATGATCTATCTAGCAACAAGGCCTACATTCCCTTCTATTTGCTGTTCTGCCCTTGGCACTGATGGCTCCAGAGCCAGTGGAGTTCTGCTTTGTATGGATGTTTGTTTTTTTTGTCAGACTTCTGAGATTCACTGTCTTTTCCCACCCACCTCCCCAGGGCTGAAAACTGCCAACAAAGAGCAGAGAATGGCACTGCTGACTGGGAATGCCAAGCCTGGAGCAGAAAACTCAGCTGATGAGATATTTTGTGACAAACCCATGTGGGTTGTACAGGTGCAATTCTTTTGAATGCAACAAAAACACAACTCCCAAGGAGGATGGAGGTTGTTGAAGAACCATGTGACCTTGCATTTTGGAGTGTTGGGCTTTTCTACGATGGGGATCCTCCCCTCCAGTGTCCTGTCCAGTCAATCAAGTGTGGCTCTCTTTTGATTCATGTTTCCTAATGAGTCTTCTTTATGTCTGGTTCAGCCCTGTGATTCTGCTTGCTTCTCAAGCACAGCCTTGGCTTTGTTTTACACATGACTTATGGCTCATGTTGTCCAGAGTCAAAGCTGCATGTCCAGCTGACAAGGTGGGTGCTGCACCAGAGCAATGCTGACATGTAGCATCCCAGTGCTCAAGATCCTTTCCCATTCAGTGCTTTGTTTCATTTCTTTTTCCCATATTGTGGTTCCTCCTGATCATCAGCCTTACAGATAAAGGTGCCTCACTTTTTTGCTGCAGTGAAGAAGTGAGTACTCATTCTCCTGAACCCTGTCATGGTGTTTCCAAAAGCCGTGCTGGCACTGGCTTGAGTCATGCTTTACCCGTGATTTTTAGCCAGGAAAGAAGTAGTATAGCTTTTCAGACACTTGGGCTCTCACAGAGGAGGATGATTGAATGTTGAAAGCTTTATACCTAAAATACAAGGCCAGAATTTATCACTGTCAAATTAAATTGGACTCAGTGATCCTTGTGGATCCCTTCCAACTCCGCATATTCTGTGATTCTGTGAAATTGCACTGTTAATGTGCAGTAGAGATTTGCACAGATAATTCTCCCTGAAACAGTCCCATAACATCTCCTGTATCCTTCCTTATTCCTTGGTGCTGTCCTACAATCAAAAGACCTGTCTCCTTATTGTTGTTAAATGGGAATATGCCTATTTATACTGCTGTGGCCCTTGTAGGGGACACTTGCCCCACTCACCCCATCCTGCATCCCAGGGTAACTTGAAAGAAATAAATGCTGCCAGTTAATCTGTTATTTGCATAGGCTAACGAATAATGCGACTTAATCTCGTGTTTGCTCCCTGCCAAGAGACCCACGGAAGAAGCTCAAAACCAGGGCAGAATCTGCTCAGTCTTTTCCACACTGAGAAACTGAGGAACCAGCAGATTGATCTGATGAGCAGAAAACTGCACATCCCTCTCTGCACTGCCGGCTGCCGTGTGAGGGCAGTGTTAGCTCAGGAACACGGGAGGTGGGTGCTCGGCAGCTGCACCTTCGAGCCCGGGGCAGCTGCCGGGGGCACCAGGGCCGTGTCCCCATCCCAAAAATGCCTCCTCGGCAGGAGCTGGCTGTGCTTGTCAGAGACCGGAAGCGGGATTATGCTGTGCTGGGATGTGGAGATCATAAAAATGGTTTGTTTGGGTTTGGTTGGTTTTTTTTTTCCCCTGGTTGGACGTTGAAATTGAACACGTCCGATCCTCTGCGTGAGCCGCCCTGCGGCCTCCTCGCAGCCTTGATGGAAACCAGGCATCGCTTGTGCTCTCCCCAGCAGAGAGGGCAGCACAGAGGACTGGGGAAAAACGTGAATGTGGGTTTAATGGTTTTGTGTCTTAGAGATGTGGTTGAGCAGGAGTGTGTGGGGGACAGCCTCAGGGTGCCTTCTTTTTTTCTTTTTTGTAATTTATTTATTTCCCCTCTATCCAATAAGGGATAACTGCACAGTTCCATGAGCACTCAGTCTCTGCCAGGAGCTGGAGTCAATTTCCCACCTCTTACCCTTGCAAGCAGAGTTTTCTTCTGTAAGTGCTTTAAACTCCCCCAGTGTGCTTTTACTTATTTTTTGGGGGAATATTCTGCACGATCTGTTGCCTTTACGTATTGCAGGAAGCACTACATGATCACAGCACCCTCAGCAGGGAACGCTATGGTGCTGTGGGGAAGAGGGAAGTGTCAGGCAGCTGAGATGGCTCTGCTGCTTTTCCTACCACAGGTATGGACTGCCAGGGACCAGAGAGCACAGTGATGGGCATCCCATTAGCATCCCACTGGTCCAAAATGGGACTGTTGAGCTCTTCCTTGTCCAGTCCACCTTTCCAACAGAACCAGGTTGCTTAATTTTTTTCTGCAATTTCCACTTTAATGGCCATAAACCCTGACTCCCTTGTAAATGCAGAGCCCTTGGTTCACTACTGCTGGCCTTGACTCACCTCAGCCCTCTCTGGCTCCCTTTTCCTGGGGGTGAAAAGCAGGTTGAAGGCCTTCATTGGCACAGTGATAGCACTGGGTACTGACAAACTACAGTGCCAGGGAGATGCTGTCCCTCTCTAGGCTAATCCTTGTCTTCCTCCCTTCTCTCCTTTTCCTGATCCTATTTTCCCCACTCCTCTCAGCTGCTCATCTCTCCAAGTCCTTTGTCGCTCCCCAAGGCAACAAAGGTATCTCCACAAGGGCCTTCCCACCTTTTTATGCCACATTCCGAGAAATCTAAAAGATCCTTAAGGGCATTGGGTATGGAATTTTGTGGGTTCAGCTCTAAGCAGCTGCCTTGGTTCCTGGGCATTTTGTCAGGTGAGTTGTTGAACACAGCAGCCCAGGCTCGAGTTGGAGCCAAGCTGATGAGTCCCAGTGCACAGCCTGCCCTCCTCCTCTCTATCAGCCAGCAGACCAAAGCGCTGGAAGCCAAACAGTGGAGGTGAGCAGAGAAGGGAATTTCAGAGTTGACACAAGCTCTGTGCACTAACTCAGACCCATAACTCCTTCCCACATCTCAGCTTGGGAAGGAGCTCCTGGCCAAGGCAATTAAACCAGCCTGCTCTGGTCCCTGCTTCCCCCTCAGCTGCTCCTGCGGGTCAGTCACAGGCCATGAGAATTTTGTCAAGGTATCTCCAGTCTAAGGAAAAAAAAAAAAACTTTTCCTCTCAATCCCTCAGCTTTCAGCCACGGGTGACGCCATAAATTCCCCTACTCTGGTTACTGTAAAGTCTTTCAGGGTGGTCAGGACCTGAATTCCTCACACAAAAGAAGAAGCAGGGGAAGAGGAAACTGCAAGCAAGGACCTTCCCCACCCCAGGGATCTGTCACAAGGACTCAGCAAGGCTCCAAGCGTGGTTTCTTGCTCTGCAGTCTCTCAGCTCAAGCCTCCTGGGTAACTGTCCCTCACTCCTCTCTCACCAGTGAACACCCTCCTCCCAACCTGTGCTTCCCACTCATGCTCCAGCAGCTCCATCTGGCTCCTTGGCCCATCTGATCTGCAGATTTGTTATTGCACTTCAGCTCTGGAGTAACCAGGAGAGGCAGAGCTCGTCCAGCATCACAGAGCTGTGGGAATGGCACCGAGTCCTGCCCTGAGCTGTATGGCACTGGTGCTCCACCAGCTCCCAGCCAGCTTCCATCCTGGATCTCCAATCCAGCTGCTGTGTGAGACACAAGTGGGCTTCTGTGCCACCCCACACCGCCCAGCTTCACCTGAGGGCTGTGCTGAGATGTCATGAGAGAAGATTAGTGAAAAATCAGCAGCCAAGTGCCAGCACTGCCAGAGAAGGTCCTCACTAAGGCAATTGTCCACAGAGCAGGATGAGGACAGGTCATTCTGCAGAAAACCATGGTGACCATGGCTAACCCCACCCCAAGCACGTGAGTCTTGTGAAAGGAGTAAACACACACTTCTCACAACCCTCTGCACTGGGGGAAGGGCCTTCTTGGAATAAAGGAGCAATGCAGGTTGGCTTTGGAGAGGTAGGGACATGGGATGGATGATTAGTTTGTCCACTGTTTGAGGAACGGTCTTGGGGAAATTGTCCCAAGGTGCAGGGTTCTTGGTCTTCTCCCAGCACAGGCAACTGCATGTAAAAATATACCCTGGGCAGAGCTCAGTGCTCAGTCCCAAGCAGGTACTGCCATAGGGGTGAAAACCCAGTGAGTTTGGATTTGGTTTAGAAAATAAAACAAAAGCAAGAAAGTAAAGAAGTTACAGTCTTCAGCTGCCTTGTGGCTCCAGAGTCTTCCCATGCTTGGATATAATTTCTACAGCTATGGATTAGAAATACATCTTCTCTTCAGACGAGTCTCAGAATCACGTGACTCCAGGAGCACAGAGATTTGAGGAAGAGCTGTTGTATGTCATGAACTTTGCATCTGGGGGGGGCCTCAGCTGGATAGAAAATCTTCCCACCTGAGCAGTGCTCCCAGGAGACAGTCTGACTTGGGAACCGGTAACTGGGCTAAGAGGCTCCGAGTGTTGGGAGAGGATCAAAAAGCTCCCCTGGCAGTAAATCTTTCACCTGCCATGTGACTCACTGGGGTTTGTGGCCATTCCTCCGAGGTCGGCCCCGGGTCAGGATTTCTCCTGTCTCTTTAGCCCCCAAACCTGGAGATTTTTGTCTTATCTTTGACGCCATCTTGACACCGAAAACAAATTATGGCCCAATTCCCCTTACTGAGAGGGGCTGGGGCTACCTTAAGTGGCCTGAACTAGCCGGCGCTTCCTTAAGAGCAGTAATTAGTGGGGTGTGGGAGGGGGAGAGGGCAAGGACTGGGGGTACCCCTGACATCGGGCTGCCCTTGTTCCCCTGCTTGGCATAGCAAGAGAGCACATCCCACCCAGCCCCATCCTATCTTATCCCATCTCATCCTACTCACTCTGACTGAGCCCTGCTGCATGCCTGGGCTCCAGAGAGGCCAAGCAGAGGTGGGGCTCTCTCTCTCTCTGCTGCTCCCTGCCAGGGTGGTGTCCGGAGGGAGCTGCCCCATCCCACACCTCCCCCAGCCCTGTATCACCGGCTGGGGCCAGCCTAGAGGGACCCCTTGACGGGAGGCAGCAGTGCTGGCCCTGGCCGTGACCTTCGGGATGACCTCGAGTGAGTCCCTGCCAGGCTGGGGCCGGCTGTGCCTCTGAGCCCGAGCTGGGACATTTCTGTGCTCACACCAAGGAAACAGCAAAGAGCAGCATCACAAAAGAACGGCCGTAAGGACCGACCTGAAACTTTTTAAATTAGTTTTTCTTCCCATCTTTCAGGGTCATTACACCATGCTCTCCTCTGCTCTGTGCCAGGGTTGTGCTGTCTGCCTGAACCCAGCAGCTGTTTTGGGGCTGGCAAATCCAGCTGGCAGCCTGGACCGTGCTCGTGGATGAGTGGGTGGCTGGGGCTGGGTGTTTCTTCCCCCCCTCTTTTTTTTCCTTTTTTTTTTTTTTTGTCAGATTGGTATTTTATTTGGCTCCATCCTGTCTACCGAGCTGTCCAGTGTAACCCTTCCCTTGCTGCTTCTGAGATAAGAATAGGCTCCCCCGAGATCAGATAAACAGGCCCATAAATACCTACAACAACAAGAAGCAGGGTCTGGGCTTGGCAGAAAGGGAGGGGGAAAACAACAACAACAACAAAAAAAAAAGGCAAAAAAGGAGCCATTGCTTTGCACACCAAACCCTAGGGGTGCAGAGCGAGAGGGTAGGAAGTGCCCGACAACCCCTCTCCCCCCAGCCCTTTCCCCTTGACCAGGGCAGGCAACAGAGTCCCCTCCACCGTCCCTCGTGGCTGGATTCCAGCGGCAGGGAACATGGCACGTATGATGCTGCCCCGGGCCAAGCGATCCCGGCGCGCGTGTGCTTCTGTCCAGGCAACTGCCGACTCCAGCCGGCGTGCCCGGAGCGAGCTGCTTCCCAACGGCATCAAGTTCACGGCAGGGTCGCGCTGTAGGTGTGTGCAGGGCCACCTCCCCTGACCGATTAGCTAGGCCCCTAAATAGCCAAAAATTCCAAGCTGGTGGCCAAACCGTTCTTCTTCCGGCCAGTTCTGGTGCAGGGAGCACCGGGAGCTCTGCCAGAGGCTACCGAGACTCCGTTCCCAGCCTCTCAGGTTCGCTGCCGGAGGAAGGGAAGCTGCTCCTGTGCAGGGCTCCCACTCCCCTGCAGCTCCTCTCCCTTTGGGGGTGAAGGAGTGACCCCATCCTAGGCTGGAACCGGCTCTGAGCTCAGCCTGGACTCCCCTTCCCGGCCCCGGCGCGGCAGAACCGCCTGCCCGGTGTCGAGGTGGGATGGAACTCGCTCCCGTGAAATACAGCCCTTCCGAAGCGTTCTGGGGAGCAGGGAAGTCCCTGGCTACAGGAAATATTTAGTGCCTTGTTTTGGGGTTGTTTTTTTACCCTCTCTCCCCCAAAACACGGAGCCAATATCTCACGCGGAAACCCCCTTGCTGGGCAGGGAAATCCTCTGCAGCCGTGGAAACGGAGAGCGTTTTCACTTGCAAAATCCCGAAGGAGCAGGGGAGGCTGGCACGGGGGACACCTTCCCTAGAAGTTTGCAGCCAACAGATACCACCAGCAGAAACCTGTGTTAAGAAAAGCAAAATTCCTGCGGATGCATGCAGGACATCGTCCCGGCGGTGCAGGGTGCCCCTTCCCAGAAGCAAAGCTGGAAAGCCGTAAAATAAAAAAACAGTGGAATTTTTTGGTGGAGTAAAAGGTCCGTAGGCGATGGGCGATATTCCAGATGGAGCCTGGTGTGCGGGGACCGAGGACACGATTCCTGTGCAGAGTCGCCCCTGCCTCACGAAGCAAAGCAGGTCCCAGGTCCCCATTTAACCCTTTCCCTCGTTCATTGCGGAGAGGCACCATACTGGTGCCGTATGGATACAGGGACACCGCCTGGCACACGTAAACAGGACTGGGGCTCCATATATTTGTGAGGCGCTGGATTACAGTGTTAGTGATGGCTTAGGAGCTTTCCCGTAAAAACCCGGCACTTTAAGGGACTGTGAAACTTAGCCATAAAATAGGATAGTTGGGGCTGATTTTCTGTACATTTTCTTTTTTTTTTTTTTTTTTTTTTTTTTTTTTTTCCCCGAATGAGTTTGGTTTTACGAATGCCCTACTCTCTAATTTTACTCTTGGAATTGGTACCATGCTAAAAAAAAAAAAAAAAAAAAAAGCCACACCACGGGCATTGCTTCTCTCAGGCAGTCAATTTTTATCTCAGCCTCACTCAAAGAGATCGGAAAACAGATCAGGGGCTGGGAAGGCAGCCTTGCAGCGGCTCTGGAGCGAGGGAAGACTGATTCATGCAGCCAGATCCTTCATCAAGATTTAATTACACTGGCCAGACCCCCAAAAGTTTGTGTGTCTGTCCGTCTGTATTTGTACACACGCACAAAATTGCCGTAAACCCCGAGCTGCTTCCCCACGGCTGAACTGGGGTATTTTCGGTGTGTGCGGCTGCACAAGCAGATTGACCGACATGTCGGCGTTTTACAGATGCTGCATCATTATTTCTACACCTTTGGTCGCAATCAAAAGCTTGGTTTCAAACAGCAAATGTAAAGCTCCCTGCTGAGCTCTCAGATTAGCCCTACAATAATGTACAAGTTTTCTCTGTGTTGGTTTTCTTTGCCCTGAGCAGCGGACGACAGTAAGGATTTATCCTGGTGTCTCTGGGAACAACGGCGTGGGAAGTCAGGATCAGGCCCTGAGCCTGTGCACACACGTCTTGGTAGTCTCTGCTAGGAGAAACGTGTGTGCACAGAATAAAGGAATGAGGATTTGGCTTTAATTACTAAGGATTATTAAGGATTTATGCCTGAGAGGTGGCAGAGATGACTTTAGGCTGTGTGAGCGCTCGTATGTCTGAGCCTCGTGATATCCATCGCATTTGGATGGCGAAGAGGGGATGTTGTACCTTCAAAATGTGGCCAAGGCAGCGCCTAAGAGGGGATCCCTGGGAGAAAGTGCTCCTGGTGCCAGAGCCGGGCGAGCTGCCTGGGCAGGGAAGGGCAGCCGAGTCCTGCTTCTCTGCGTGGCAGCAATAAAAGTGGCACTCCACAGCTCACCGGTGCTCGTGCCATACAGACGCTGTAGAGGCTTGATCCTGCCATCCTTCCCCAGGCCAAATATGAGTTCAGTTCCTCTAGCAGGTCTCCTGAGTCGGGGGGAAGGGGTTGTAGGGCAGGGGCAAAGTTCGTGGCCTGGGGCAGACTGCGGGTACCTGTTTGTAGAGCCCTGCCAGCTCCTGGGGTGAGCAAGCACGGCACAAACGAGTCCCAAAGGATCCCACGGAGCTGCCCAAGGCACCCGGGGAGGAATTCCCTCGCATGGATCGGCTCCACAGCAGGGTACTGACTTCAGAGGGGTCCTTAATCCCGCAGCACCCCTCGCCCCGCCGACGGCACAGGGGGCCCGGCTGCAGCTGCACGATTGCCGGAGCAGGGGAAGGCAGAGGGCTCGGACCCGAGACTGTTTGCATAAAGTTTAAATTTTATTTTATTTAATTTTTTTTTTTTTTTTTAGTTATTCAGTTTTAAATACGTGGTGTGGCGCGCCCGGTCCCTCGGGAAGTGGTCATGCAGATCTGAGGTAGAAAACCCGGCACAGGAGTGTTCCCAAATGCACCTCTAGGTAGTTTCACCGCACCCACACGTTAGTCAGGCAGCGGACAGGGTCGGGAAGGGGTCGGGGGACTCGTATTTACAACAGCAAACGAATCGAACCGTTTTAGCCCGACCCAGGAGGGCAGGAGCCGCCGATCGCTGCTGGCAGCGGGAAGGAGCGACGATTACTGCAAACGGGGAAAGGGGCGACGGGGGAAAGGGCCCGGCCGGTCCCCGCTGCCGGCGGGGCGAGCAGGACCCGGCCCCGCAAGCGCTCTCGCCTCTCTCCCGCGGAGCATCCGTCCGGGAGGGGGGCGGCCAGGCCAGGTCCCCGCATCCTGCACCTGGATGGACTCCGGGGCCAGGCCAGGATCTCCGACATTGCACATGGA